TTCAATCCTTTAACCTCTTATTACCTGAAAATAAAAGGAACACAAAAACACATATAATAGAACTAAAAGGATGAAAACATATACGAAAACAGAAGAAAACAAACAAAAAACGCCATACTTTTACCGTTTGTCAAACACCATGGTCGAGATTAAAATATGAGTACTATGAAGACTGCATCTAACCCCACAAAAATATCCTTAGACTTAAGCCCTATGAGAAAGATGTTGATAAACATCTGTTGACGATTCCTCAAACAACGCTTTTATGAGCAGTCTCTATCTTTTTTCCTCTCCTGTAGTGTTCCTCACTCCCTATTGAGATAACTACATCAAGCCCTAACATGACTTATCTAATATATTCAAAATATTTTACAAGATATGAAAATAAACTTCTTGAACCCCTATTTATAGTGGTATGACTTACCATTCTCACTAAGCGTGCTTTGAACCTCGCTTAGCATGCATACATTCTTCCTCCTTAAGAAATTCCAACTAATCTACAAGTGATTTTGGTTGCCTAAATATCTCTTAGCACGCCTCTAGGTCACTTATCGAGCTAACCATCTCTTTGCCTTGAAGTAATTTAACCTTGAATATTTCTTACACACCATATCTCGATTAACATTTCTGCTAGTAAGTTTTGGTTCATGGATGAGGTTCGTTTGCCCATTTTGGTGCCTATTTCTTGCTTAAAGAGGTATGGTCTATGGCTAAGCGAGCCTTGGTGCCTGAATGGAGTTTTTTTGTCTAATTTTGGCGCTTCCTTTGTCCTTTTTTCACCATCTTTGATAAATATACAGTTAAAAAGTTCACACAAGCGTTTTATCATATTTTCCTGATAAATTGGGTTTTTTTCATTGACTACTTGCAAAAGAAGTTAATAAGGGCTTATGGATTTTATGTATTTATATCACTTATCAAATTTTCCAAACTTATCTTTTTGTTTTTCCTCAAACAAAATCAATACAAATGGTTTATAAAATTTATTATGCAATAATCATGAAAGGTCTAAGGACTTTATCGAGTTTTTTGAAATGATTTTGAAGTATGCCATGATTTTTCTTAAAATTAAAGTTCATAATTAACATTATAAGCATCCATAAGTTATAGCATGAAGATAAAAAATATACTTTACCAAGGTATGATTTAAAATATGCTCAGATCAACAGTCAATTGTTCATCTGAATTATTATGTCACTATATATATATATATATATATATATATATATATATATATATATATATATATATATATATATATATATATATATATATATATATATATATATATATATATATATATATATATATATATATATATATATATATATATATATATATATATATATATATATATATATATATATATATATATATATATGTATATGACTCAAATGGGTTAGTATTTTTCACTTCATCTAAGCAATATCACAAGATACATAATTAGTCATGGATCTCTAAGGTTTTATTTGTTTGTAATATGGTTGGGCTATAAAAATCTTAGTTTTTTTGGGATTCAAATGTGCCTAGTAAATAAGAGAGCAATACTTGATGTTTTCTTTTCTTTTTCAAAAGTTGTCTTTATTTTTTACTTTTACAACTTCTTCTTTTGGTGATTTCTTATTTTTGTAAACTTTGATATTTATACTTTTCTTTCTTTTCCCTTTTGATTGTCAAAGTAATTTTTTTTCGTTTATCAGATTACAATCACCATTTAATACTTGATTTATTTTTCAAACTTTTTCTTCCTCCCCAACTTTATCATTTTTGTACACCCTTGAAATTATAATGCTCTCATATCTTTAAGACAAGGTTTTAATTTTTCACTAGTATCCTCGAACGTCACCATGGAACAAGTATGTCGCTTACATACTCTCACAAATATATATTTCTAATTCTTGTAGTTGTTTGAGTGAGGAGTGAAAAGAACAATCTGAGGCAGAACACATGGTCACTAAGTTGCCCTTGTTTATCGTCTTAGTATCGTAAAACAAAAATAAGATGCCCACTATATGTGTGACTTCTAACTGGCTACAAATGATTTTGAAGGCTTTGAAGAAAGCCTAACCATTGGGAGGTATTTGAGATGGGGAGACGTTAATGGTATTAAGGACCTTAGACTCGAACATTAACAAAAGGGATCATCACCCCCGAGGTCATATATGATGGGGAGATATGTATAGAAGTTTCCCTTAGAATCAGTAGGGGTGCCAAATTAACCCTATCTTACTCAGTATATGGTTCTATAATGATATCTTCTTCTTAGTTGTATAAATGGTCTCATAATCTCTAACTCCTGAACGTTTCAATGAATTGGATGCCATCAATGATCTTATTTTACTTGGGAAAGATGGTAAAAAGAGATCATTATCACTACTAGAATCGAAATTGCTATCCTATGTGCCAAACATTCGTAACTTGATAAGGTTATAATCGACTATCCCATCCAACCACCTCGCATTCCTAACACAAAGTTTGAATACATCCATAATTTCCCTATGAGTAGAAGGCTCAATGAGGTTATTATTGTTATCTAGCTCCCTAATAATCTTCGTTCCCTAAAAAGAGTGGATAAAGAAGAAGGATAATTTTAATAATTAATTATTGGGATGATGATGATGGTAGAATTAAATTTAAAAAAAAGATTCGAGGAAGAAGGTTTACTTAGTGAAATACATAAAGCATGAATAGAAAAGTGAGAAGAGCGACTGAGATCGCTCATTTATAAGGTCAAAAACTTAGGTCGTGTAAACTATCATTACATGGCATTAGGTATGCACATGCTAATGGTGGACAAAGCATTTACGACTTAGGATCAATACATGCAATATGATTAAGGGCTCACAATGTTTGTGTCTTCCCAAGAGAGACTTGTTATGAGAAAGCATTTAGTGTTTTATGTGCTTCCCATGTTTGATGCCTAAGGGACTCGTCCTCCAAGCACCGCTTGATGGAGTCGCCCTATATGCCATGTTTGAGAGACTCACCCTTTAATTCTCTGTAAAGGACTTTTCCTTCAAGGATCACTTTACCATTCATTGTCTAAAAAAGAGATTGTCGTTCACCTAGTTAAAATCACTTTTCCATTCTCTAATCTCGTATCTGAGAGACCGTGGACTAAAATAACTTTGATTGGCTCTTAGGAGAAAAAAAATCATAAGTCAATCAATCCATAGCTTCAAAAAAGGGTCATAGGATGAGTCAAGGGGGTCATGGGTCGCCTTATCCACCTCACCTTGAGTTTGGGTTGTCCGGCCCGAGCTTGTATCTATCTATCAACTACACCCATGTATGTTTGATTACGTGTCTCTAAAATGATAGTTTGATCACATCTACAATGAAGAAACCACTCTTCCTATTAATGAGGAAGAATGAGCTTCCTTATTCCCACGTCCAAGCTAGGCAATTAAAAGAAAGCTGATTCTTGCCCCCACAACTCAACCCATGGATTGTGGTTACAAATATACTAACCCTTAAGATTGGAAGGATTGACTCACTATTCAAATATTCAACATACACAAACTCTCTTACATTCTTTCACATAAGATGATTCATCATCCCTTATTGTATTTCCCACAAGTATAAAAATCATGCACTTCTTAAAAAAAAATATAATTTAACAAGATTAAACTTCGTATGACTTAATATTTCAGCAAATGAAATTAATATTATCTATACATTTTGCACTTAGACATTTTATTTATGTGTCACTCAACTAAATAAGTTTTTTTCTTCTTATGTATTTCTTAATTTATTGGATAAAAAACCTCAAATTTTTATATTTGATACTACTATAGATGAGTTAAGAAACTAATAATGGAGAACAAAATCATTTCCCCAAATATTATCTTTGAAGGACAAAGAGTCTTACACAATAGATCTATAATCGTTTTTATTTACTTATAGAAAGTGTATTTTTACAAGTAGTTAAACTTGACTATTCTAGTAGTGTTTGATATATTATTATTATAATGAAAAGCGTATGTCATAGTCATTCTTTTTCACATTGTCTTTTGCTTTTGTTTCCATTATTATTTTCTCACCAGAAAAATGCTCTTTGCCTCCTCCCTATACACTCTCAAGTTGTTACTATATGAATTTGCGGATTTCTCTCATCTTGTCTTCTCATTCAACTATTTATAACTAACTAACTAGGGTTCTAATCTCTCTCTCTCTTTCTCTTAAAGAGTCTCTCTCTCTAAGAGTAGATCTTGAAAAGATCTAGCCTAGCTAAGGGTGGAAAAGGTAATGATCGAAATTAACATATTTTGTTCAATAAAACTTTAAGGTATAGTTTTTATGCCAAAATATATATAGATTTTATTTGATGTTTTGTCTAATAAATTAATGTTTCTCTTGTTCGATCATCATGCTTTTGGCTTTTGAATGTTTTGGAACATATGCAATGTATCTTCCAAAATAGGAAATTGTTGAAAATTGAGAAACTTTCACATGTCAAGTGTGGTAGGTGTGCTTTTTCTATTGTCCCATTTGGCCACTTCCATGTGAACATCACAAAGGAAAGAGATTGAGAGGGAGAGATAGAGGGAGATAGAAAGAAAGACTAAGAGGGAGATGGAGTTTGAGAGAGAGATATTAATAAGCAAGTCTCCATAACCCTAGTTTAGAAATAGATGTTGATCTATGAAATGAAAAAAATTCAACTTATTATTTTTCACATAATTATACATACTACTATGAAAATAATTAAGGATGAAAAGAATTATATATTATAAATAGGATATAGTTCTTGGGATTTTTTTTCATATATAAGCTTCCAATTTTCAGTTATAATTGTGTTGCTTAGTGAGGTGAAAATTAGAAAGATATTTCATTATGATTTTTTTCCCTATGAAATTATATTTGTAAATTTTAGTATTTTGATATATTACTGAAATCAATTAAAGCTGTAAATTTAACTAGTTTAGTTTTTTGTCTCATAAATATAATGATTATATATATAACTAATAATTTGGTTTTAATTTGTTTGGTTTACAGTGATGGCATGTAGCTACTCATCAAATCCTCCATGTGCTGCTTGCAAGTTTCTAAGAAGAAAATGCAATGAAGAATGCATATTCGCACCCTATTTTCCACCAGAAGAGCCTCACAAGTTTATAAACGTTCACAAAATATTTGGAGCAAGTAATGTGAGCAAAATTCTGAATGAAGTATTACCTCACCAAAGAGAAGATGCAGTGAACTCTTTAGCCTATGAAGCTGAAGCAAGGATTAAAGATCCAGTTTATGGCTGTGTTGGAGCTATTTCAGTTCTTCAAAAACAACTTCTTAGCCTTCAAAAAGAACTTGATGCTACTCATGCTGATTTGATTAGGTTTAATCATCAACCTTCTTCTTCTCTTGGTCTTGGACATGGCCACTCTCTGCCTTTTTTTAATTATCCTTCTAATTAATTTGAACAATAATATGTCATTTATTTTCCTATATTTAGGGTTTCCTTTTGTAAAGTATTGGATATATTTGAATGAATATATGATATGTATGTGCATATTTTTTTATTATAATAAGTTTATAATGTTTTGATATAGTTAGAGTAGTTTTGCCAATATTGCAATGTGATGCAATTTGTGATTCTTCTTATTTGTTTGTGATTTCTATTTTTTAACCAAATATATAGAGCACATCTTTTTGAGTCTGCCATTATTGTTAAAGTGACCATGCGGTTTTGGACTTATATGAGGCTGATTGGTAAAGTCCAAATTATTATTGATTTATTTTATGATTAAAAGACTAAAGAAAGAAAAGAGAATAGAGAAACAAACTAAAATTTTAAACTGAAAGTTTATATCACATTAGTTGTGAGGATGTGGTTAAATTCTATAGGAAGAGAGAAGTGGATGAAGAGGTCCGAAAGAAGCAGCATTAAGATTGATCATGAATTCAACACTTTGATTCTTTTTGTAGAAAGTCTGAATGATTTTAAAGTGAGTATTGTCTTATTGTATATTCTTAATGTATTGAATTAAAACAACATATTTGTGAAATTTATTAATGAGAGACTCGAAGAGGTTGATGTAGCAAACTCCAAGCATATGAAGTGCTCAAAAAAGAAAAACAAGATACATGGAAGAAAAATCAGGAAAAAAAAAAGACATCAAATAGAAGAACAACCATACCAAAAAGGGTTGGGAACTTATCCTTTTAAGTCTAAGTTTTATAGTTTTTTCTCCAATTATCTCGGATAAAAGGGTTGGTGGGTGAAATAAGAGTGATTATTAATAGGATGTCTCACTAAATTGATGAAGATATCAGTCGATTTGGACATATTTATATGTTTTCAGATTAACAATAACATTTTCTTTAGCATTGTTCAGTTTGCGGACGATACTCTCTTGATTGGGGACGGAAGTTGTGACAATTTGTGGTGCATCAAGGCGTTTCTTAGAGGACTCGAGTTGTTGTCGGGTCTTAGGGTTAATTTTCGCAAAAGTAGCATTGGAGGGATGAATTTGAAGCCAAATTTCTTAGAGGCGGCATCCTCTTTCCTTCATTGTAGTGTTTGTTCAGTTCCTTTCAAATTCCTTGAAGTTTTTGTTGGGGACAGTCCTAGGAAGAAGAAGATGTGGGATCATGTGTTGCTGAATTTGAGGAAGACTCTGTCGGTTTGGAGGGGTAGGAAACTGTCATATGGTGGTGAAGTGGTACTTATCAATTCCGTTTTGAATGTCATCCTAGTTTTCTCTCTCTCCCCTTCTACAGGGCGCCATGTTCTCTCCTTAAAGAGATTGTTAGGATTCAGAGCATTTTTTTATGGGAAGGTCGGGATTTTGTTAAAAGAGTTCATTGGGTTAGTTGGATAGCCGTCTGTCGTCCTAAAGAGAAAGGTGGATTGGGAGTCAAGGATGTGGCAATTTTTAATAAAGCATTGTTGCTCAAATGGAGATGAATGTTCATTAATGATAAAAAGGTGTTACGGAGAGGGCTCTTGGAGTATAGATATGTTAAGTCTAACTTGACGTGGGAAGCATTTCACATGGTTCTCATTAAAGGTAGGAGAGAGGGGTTGATTTGGTGGCGAGATATTTCGGGTTTGTGGATCCTTTTGTTTCTAATTTTGTTTGTAGGCTTGGCAATGGTGTCGACATACCGTTTCAGAATTTTGTTTGGCTTAATGGATGCTTTTGAGGATTTCTTTTCCATCTCTTTATGTGAGCTTTGGTGTCCAGGATTTGAGTGTTTTTGAAGCTGGGAATTGGTATGGTGAGGAGTGGAATTGGTGTGTGGCAAGGTATCCTGTTTCAGGTGAAGATGAAGAGTATGTGGAGAGTGAGAACCTGCATTCTCTTCTGCAGAATTCTGCTCCTGTTAGAAGTAGCATTGACAGCTTCTGGTGGGTAGCTGATGACTCTTCAGATTGTTCAGTCAGTTATGCTTATAACGTTCTATTACAGTAGGTTGTTTATGGTCCGGTTGTTATCGACTTCGGTTATCTCGGTTAACCAGTGTGTTCTGTGAAATTGTTGTGAGGAGGATACTAACCATTTATTCATGTCTTGTGTCGTAGTGGCAGAAATATAGAGGGAGATAGGAGTGTGGGTTGGTTTTGATATGGTTCTGAACTCTGGTACAATTAATTCCTTTTTAGATTTCTGGCAGAATGTTAAGAAGGTGGGTGGTAGAGGTAGCTTATTTGGTATGACTATTGGTCTGCTGTTATTTGGATGATTTGGGATACTAGAAATAGTGTTATTTTCAGAAACTCTAGCTTTTTTGTTGCATATTTATTGATTTCTATCAAGTGGCTCTCTTGGAGATGGTCATGCCTTGTTTCTAGTGTCTTTTGTACTACTTTCTTTGACTGGTTTAATAGTCCAGTCAATTGTTTGAGGCTTAAATAGTTGGTTTTCTGTTGTAAGGGTTGAGTACCCCTTGAACTCATTCTTCAATCCATTGCCTTTTTTAAAAAATTAATAGGATCTTGACTTGGGATCTTAGATGGAGAATATCATTATTCTTTAGAGAATTGTCTGTTCTTGAGGACTTTCGAGCCTTACTTAGAGATGTTATCCTTACTCTGGACATAGATAAATGGATTTGAAAGCATAATGTAGGCGGTTCTTTTTTAGTGGCATCGACTTATCTTTTATAATGGGAGAGTTTTCCTGCTTTTTTGGCCCCACTTTTACTTCAGAGTCATATCCTTTCCTTAATTTGGCGTAGTTGGGCTTCGTCTAAAATCTTGGTTTTTCTGGCAGGTTTTGCATGATAAATTCCCATATAGAGTCAACTTGCTTAGGAGATGGGTGATATCTGATACTAGTAGTCTTGTTTTCCCCTTATGTGGGTCTCCAGTTGAGTCACTTTCTCACCTATTTGTTACATGTGAGATAGCCTCTTTAATGTGGTATAGAGGTTTTGGGTGGTTGGGGTGGCAGGTTGTTATTCACCAGGATCTTAGGGTGTTTTTTCAGTCCTTTCTTTAGGAGGTTGTGCCAAGTTTAGGTGTGCTTACCTTATGGTATGACATGCGGTTATCTGGTATATTTGAAAAGTCCGCAACGATGTAATATTTAATAGAGTCACAATAACAGTGAAAGAAGTGAAGGAGCAGAGCATTTGTTTGGCTTGGAAATGACTTTTGGATAAGGCAGAAGAGAACCCTTACACCTTCAAGAATTGAATTCAAAAATTTATCCTCTACCTACACTTATATTAGATCGAGAGTTGTCCTGTTTTAAAGTGTGGTGGTGGATCTTCAGTGTTTCTATTGTTGGGATCTAATATGTTGATGATGGATCTAATTGGTTAAAGCTCTAGTATGTGAGTATCGAGGTGGTTCTTTAGTTATTGTGACTCAATTTCATCATGGTGAATAAGTTCATGTGAATTACAAAAGGTTCAGTATAAAATATATCTTTAAGAGCCTTATATATTTCTCTACTGCCAAAAATCAGAGAAATTGTTAAAAAATGTTATAAGCTGATGTGGTTTATGTCGCAAGGTAATTATGTACAATCAACATTTATTATAGTAAAAAAATGGTTGAGGGTGTTCTATTTAATGAATTGTATGATGTGGGGATTGTTAAATCAAAAGTGAAAGAAATCTACCATGTTGTAAATCTCAGGAGAAAAATGGTAAATAGAGATGTTATTATGAAGACATAATTACACAAGAGATTCTTTTAAGTTATTTTTTTAACAGGTTGGTCCTTAAGTTTTTTTTAACAACTTGGCCTTTTAAGTTAACAAATATGTGCACTGTTACCCTTTTCTTAAATCTTTTATTAAACCAATCACCTAAAATAGATAAAGTTTCACCAAAATACATAAAGTAGCATCTTAAATACATAAAGTAGAATCCAAAATACATAAAGTAAGATCCTAATTCAACACATTTGTTAACTTAAAGAACCAAGTTCTTACAAAAAACTTAAAGGATCAACATGTTACAAAAAAATAACTTAAAGAACCTCTGGTATAATTTTTTTCTGTTATGAACTATACAAATAGAGTTTTTTCTGTCAAACTTGTTGAATTGTATTTCCTTGTGTCGAAGCTTATTGCTCGACAGAAGCAAGGAAGTGTCAAAATGTCGAAGTAATGTACCTCGACAAGAATTTCGACTTATCTCTATTTTTGTAGTGTTAGCAGAATTAGGTACTTTGGGCCTTGCTTGAAGAGTAAGCAAGCCCAAATCTATAAATAGGGAGTAACCCCTATCATTGTATAAGAACTTACAGTTGCAAAAGAATAAAACTCCAGTTTTGGAAGCAAAGAGAAGCTCTGCAGAAAATATTTTCTTCTTCTCCTATTTTTAAACCTTAATTTCGTTCTTCTACAATTTAATCTTTTCCTTCTTCTTCCATTAACAATTGTGCAATAAAAATAATCCTGCAACCAAGGTTGGTTGATTCATTCGAGTGAAAAGTGAAGAACAAAAGGGATTCGATCGGTGTGATTAAATATTGTTATTCAAGATTTGGTTCGGAATTCATCAAGTTATGGTGAAATTATTGAATGGGAATCAAGCGAATTTTCAGCATCTGGTAACTAGAGCACTGGTTGAGCGATTTGTGAGAAGCAAAACATGATGGCGATGAATCATCTTAATAGAAATTTTCTAGTGAGCTTCCCAATTTTGAAGAGTCAGAATTATGAGAATTGGTGTAAACAGATAAAGATTATTTTTTGTTGTCAAGATCTTTGGGATCTTATGAAGGAAATAGTAACACCGCTTCCAGAAAATACGACGGGTGAAGAAAAGGCTACACAAAAGTTATTGAAGAAGAAATATTAAAAAACGCTCTTTATAATCCATCAATGCATTGATCAGGCAATTTCTACAAATTCAGTGATGTAGAATCGTCAAAAGAAGCATGAGAAATTCTGGAGAATCATTTGGAGTTGTAGAAAAGGTGAAAGAGGTGAGGTTACAAACTCACAAGAGAATA